TTTTTTTTTTTTTGGGGGGGGGGGTTTAAACAAAATTGTTCTGTTGAACCTATCCGCGACAAGGTTGGCTGATGTTTGGCATGCACTAGTTTGATGTCTGGTGTGTTCAACACACATACACGACGCGGATGATGCCAGTTGTCCCAGTGTTGATGTCGTTGTTGTAAATACAGTAGCCACTGATGATAGGTCCTTCAGCAAAAATATATGTTAAAAAGGTCGGGGCTTTCAAAAGTCAATCTTTGCCGCAGTAACGTGGTAAAGGGTACACTCTGTGGTACGAAAGAAAGAGCTTACCGTCGGAGATCCTTCAGTTTTTTGGGACATTCAAAGAAATGATGTTATACTTTTTTAGACGTGTAGACGAAGTAAAAAATCTGGGCTGGTTCCGTTAAGGTGATGATTTAGAAATCTAGATGATTTAGAAGTATGCGCTGATTTTGGAAGCGGAAGTATATCGTTGTTTGTTCACTTCTTCTGTTGAGGGCTTTAATGCTGTTGGATTGGTTAACCTTGCTTATGTGATTGTACACATGTCTGCCCGTCGGACCTCTTGCATGTCGGTTCATCCATTGCTCCGTGTAGTCTTTCTTACACTGCTGTCAAAAACTTGTGCGACAACTTATTGTCAAATATTTCATAAACTATTGAACACATCTTTCCCACAATGACTTGTATCCATCTGTCTTAACAGATCAATTTTTTTGTAAACACCTGTTAGTGGTATTCTAGAAGACTCCTTAATAAATACTAGTACTGAACGCATGCTTTGAGAACCTTTAGTGCAAAAAACTGTGTTCACTATAAAATCAATTTCTTGTGACAAGTTTTGCCTCTAAAAAGTGTCATTCATGAGCTGTGACGTAGGCCATATATGCGTATACAAAAGGTGTGTGAGAATCGGGAAGTGCAGTGAACAATTCCATTTTCTGCGTGAAGGAGATTTGTAATATGTTATATAAATTTATGAAGAAAATTTTTTTAATCTTTTCTTAACTGTTGGGGGGAAATATGATTAGGCTAAGACAAATTGATGTGCAACGTATCGATGTCATTGATCCATCCGTTAAAGAGATATTTGAGGGTAAGTTGCACCCCAAATTTTTAACCGAACTGCAATGATGATTTTTTTTTGTTTTGAGTGATGTAGATTAGGTTGTAAAGCTTTCTTTGTTTTGGGGTGTTTTTTGTGAGTGTATTTTGTTTTGTTTTGTTTGTTTGGTTGTTGTTGTTTTGTTTTTGTGTTGGGGGATATTTTGTTTTGGGTTGACTATTTTTGGACTAGTCTGCCTTCTTTGTTATTGCTATGAATAAAAGTGTTGCCTTTGAATCTACAGGAAAAAGCCCTACCACTAGCATCAGCGTGCATAGCAACGCGAAGCCTCGCTGTGCGGCGCAGCCAAAGGTGTCCTCAACTGGCCGCCATGTTTTAGTTTCAATTCCTCACAACGAATCGGCGATCGCGAAGAGGGAGTTCCGCTTCTATAAGTGTAGAATTCTGTGGAACTCCCAGACCTCGGTATCTCTTCATCTCTCAAGAACAAGAGATAGCGAAAGTACCTCAGTGGATGTTCATAAATGTCTTCACTCCCAGGTCCAAAAGTTTTCGAATTTTCATGGCTTTTTAAAACTTCTTTTTGAACGCTCTCCTTAAATTATTGAGCTTTCTTGACAAAAATGTTGTCCACGGGTGCGTCCTTCTGATTGCAAAAAGTCTAACCATCTCTTGGTGTGACTGTTCTTTCAAGTACTTATCTCTGTATTCCTTAGACGTTATTTTCCAGAGGGCCTCTTTTGAATGATACAAATCTATAAACTTTGTTATATAGTATTTTTTTAACATATATGTAGCTATTATAAGAACCACGGCAAGCTCGGTGCTTCTAGCTATAAACGACGATTGACTTTCTCCACTGACTTTCCACTATCTTGAGGAGAGGGGAAACAATAAAAATAGCGGGGAACACACTAGCTCTGCCGTGCTGTCACCTCGAACTGACGAAGTCCGCATGAAAAATATCAGGCAGCTCCTCCTGATATACTGGCGAACGGACTGATCCATCGTACATCAACCGGATTTCATCAGTTTTGGTTATTTCAAATTGCACAGTCAGTTTGGTCTAACAGCTCATCGTATCAGAATCGTATCAGTTAGATCAGTCCGTTTCGTCGTGCGTATAATTTAGACTTTACTGTCAACGGTATGGCTGGTGCGCCCCTGTAGCTGATACGCGTGACGTCATTTCCACTAGCCCTGAATTTCGAAAAGTAGAAAATCAGCTCCATTTTTATAAGTTTTCATTCATAATCTATCTATTTGTGGTGGCCGAATTTTGCTATTCAAAGGGCTTTTTAATGGCTGCATCGATCGACATGCGGTTTTCGCAAAAAAATTATTTAAAATATTCTCCAGAGCATGGCGCCCTTGGTTTTTTTCCAGTTTTGAGACAGTTTTGCTGCAAAAAAGCAAAATTTCTTTATTTCGTCGATCGCTTTTGTAGGCCGACGCTCCTGTCTCTGTAATTTTAGAAAATCCGGAAGTGATATTTCGCGAGGCGCGTTTTGTTTTGAGAGTATAGACCTAGACCTTCTCATTGTTTTCATCTCTCAAGATTTATTGCCCCATTCCATTAGAGCGTAAATATGGTAGGCCAATTACTTTTAATTGATATTAAAGCACCGGCCTAGACGGTCAGAGAACGGTTAGTATAAGAACGTAAAGGCACCGCCGATCATTCCTTTCATCGAAAGGGGGCCCAGCTAGTCATATTATATTTATAAAATCACGTAAAGTTTTGCATTGGATCGGTACTACATATTGATCTCTCTGGCTGGTGTTGACAATTTATCAGAAAAGCCCACTGAAACGGCCGTTGTGACCAGACACTGGCGTCAAGAAGACGATTTCGGATCGTTTGATCCGATACCCAAGCCAATCCTTGTACAGCCTGAAAAGTTGGGGAGGCTTACATGACTCAATCCCACAATTGTAGTCACCGAATACATCGATCTTGAGCTCGACGTTTTGCTCCTAGATTCTCAGTCCTGTAATAGAATCAAAATCGTCTGTTGATATCGATCCAGAAATCGGCTGATTGTTGACTAGGGAACATCACAGCAGCGGAAACAATTTTTTTCATAGGTGGCCTGCCACAAGGCACGCTCTACAGTTGCTAGTCTCTCTTTGTTGCGAAGAAAGGCATAGCATTGTGGAGCTATTAAAGAAAGAACGAATTGTACGATTCCAATTCGACCCTTGAAAGCAAAAATGGCTTAAGTGCCAAAATAGACAAATCAGACATAAACTTATGGCTGAATAGAGCTTGATGTCACCTTTCAAAGCAATTTTGTCTAATCTCACTACTCAAACTTGTTCAAGAATTATAGGAAAATCACATTTTGTCTTAGCTAAATTCACAAACTTGTTCAAAATTTTCATTCGCGATTTTATCCAAACAGCAGTCATGGCACTTAAGACATATTTGCTTTCGTTGGTCGAATTGCTCTGTGGTGTTTACTCCAATGCAAAACTTTACGTAATTTCATAACTGTAAGATGGTTATGAATTAAAACTTATAAAATCGAGCTGATTTTCTACTTTTCGAAATTAGGTCAAAGAGGAAAAGCAATTGCTCAAGCCATCTGGTAGCTCAGATAGTATCACACAATGGGTTCACGTTCATACAGACAGAGAATCATACTTCTTATCACGATGTAAAACGTGTTACTAATGTCCCCTAAAAATAATATCACTTTCTTTTTTAACAATGAGCTATAGTACAGGGCTTTTTCTTTTAAATATTCCTTTTTTTCTTCACTCTTTTACTAAACGTTAATAGTTCATATATTTACCTATCAGTTGTTTGCTAATTTAATATGTTAATAGCTATCAATTCACGTAGATGATCTATCTATTTTTATAACTTTTATTTTGATTTATTTCTTGGCTTGATTGTTTAGTTTCTAAACTTTTGACTATTAGCTGATTTATTTGTTAATCTACAGAACGACCACACCCAACTCTGTGGCCCTAGCCTCGTTATTCAGGCTGGAATACAGCCAGTTGGGACGATTTGGGGCAACGCGAACGCAACTTTTCTCAACGGAGCAAAAGGCAAGAAGCCTCTGATTGGTCCAGACAGCCGGTTTCACGGCAGCGTAACGGTGGAGGACCTGCGCCCTACAGTTCCGATTCTACCAGAAGCAAAGAGTTTTACAGCTTTCACTTTCTTCGGGCTTTTTGTGGCTGCTACAACTCTTCTTCTTTGTGTTGTTATTGCTATTGGGCTGCACTGGTATTTGCGTCGCTCTTCATATGATTTCCATAGCTTTCCATTTCAAAAACAAATCCTCGGTGAGCCTCTAGTCTCAAACCTGTATTGAACCAATATAGCTTGACAATCTCAATTTACAACAACAACAAAAACAATTAAAACTGGGCGGAGAACCCTTCAAATTTATCTACAAAAAAATAAATAAAACAGCATAATAATAGATTGCAATAAAAAATAGCGGTCTATCCCATACTAGTATAATAATAAGCTCTGAGCGCTTTACACCAATCACATGATGATTTACACAAGAGAAAATATTTCACAGAAACAAGAAAAACCAGTTCAGCCACATAAAGAAGAACTTTCACAACCAAACATTAACTATATTTACGAAAGAACAGCATTTTAAAAAGAAGCTACAAAAAAAACAAAACAACAAAAACTATATCAGCACTTACTAGATCTAAGTTAATACACTACAACTAAGAATTAAACAAGAAATGAGTCTTGAGCAACCGCTTAAACGTATCAGAATGTGTTATTTCTCTAAGATCCTTGGGTAAGGTGTTCCAGGTTTTAGGGCCCAAAAAATGAGAAACTTTTCTCACCAAAAGATCGCAATTTCATTCTAGATCTAGCAGCTCTGAATTATGTTGTATATGTTGATCTATAAGGAAGCTTGGTATGAGATTTTAAACCTAGGTCTTTCTCTTTGCAAGCCATAGACTTGTTTGGAAAAAAGTCTCAAACTGAAAAAGAAATAAGGCAAAAAATAAACTTGAAAAAAAATATTTTAAAAAGTATATTGTTGTCTTTTTCTGTCATTTTTTATCATGTATTTTTTAGTTGATTTTGGGATATGGTTAGTCTTTAATAACCTTGTTATTCACTTACCTTATTAGGGCACTCCCGAGCAAAATATTGTTGTTAATACAAATCTATGACAGAGGAAACAGTGGAGCAAGGATGGTTTCTGTGGAAAAGACTCCTGGTCTTAGTGAACGTTAATGCTGACTTAGGCCTACGTTTCTCACCAGTCACCTAAATGCAAAAGAACTAGCCGTTTATATACGTTTGAGAGAGAGTATATGTGTGTGTGTATGTGTGTGTGTGTGTGTGTGTGTGTGTGTGTGTGTGTGTGTGTGTGTGTGTGTGTGTGTGTGCGCGTGTGTGCGAGCACTTGCGCACGCTTTTTGAAGAAAATTATAGAACCGTGACAAGGAAAAGACACTACAATTCACAGCAGAACAAGCTAAAGCTCTAGCATCTATGGACCAATACCGATGTTCTATTCATGAATCTACAGCTCTTTTTCTGTCTGTCACTTTTTGTTTTTTGGGGGTTTTTTGTTTTTTTTGCTTTTGTCCTAAAAACATAAAGAAAAAACAGCTTGGAGAACATTGACTCACTTTTTGATAACATAACAAAAACTCCTCCAATTTTACAAGCGCCTGATTCGAGCACCCTGTAACACATTATTGTTACCCTCAATTCCACAGCAGTCTCTGTCTAGACGGAGCTGCATACAATCCAAAGTCAGACCAAACGTACATTTGTATTATTTTAGTCACATTTGCATTAAAATGTCGCATTACAGCTCTTGAGCCATGTATGTCAATCATTTATGCTTCATTTAACGTGTTATAACAACGTTTCCAAAAGCTTGAGAAACAATAACATTATTTTCTTTTTTGAGTGTGTAAGATAAATAACAGTTCAAAATAGCTTGTTTTTTAATCATTAATACGAATGAATATTTAAGAATTTGACGAGGCTTTTGAACACGTCTTGCTCGTTTGTCTGCAATGCAGTTGGGCATTACGCTCTTAATTTTTGTTTTGCCCAACACATTATGTGACAACAGCTTTCATCCGGTCGACACGCCCACTGATAACACACTAACGTCTGAGGTGTAGTCGATTGTGGCATGCAGGAGACCCGGGTTTGATTCCTCGGCCGGGATAATTTGTATTGAGTATCGTGGTATTTCTGATGTGATGTTAAGATATATACAAATCTTTAGTGACAGGCAGTGTCGGAAACTCGCCTCTCAAAACATCTGGTTAAATGTGTTGATGGAGATGTAAAAATACGTATACTGATTTTTTTTTTTTATAAACAAAAGAATGATAACACGCTGCCAATGAACTATCGTTCTTGGTAAACCGTTACTAAAGATTTGTGACAGTCCTTTCATTTTTACGTGAGTGTCTGTCGTGCATAAAATGATGCATCATCAACGAGTGGAAATACATTTCCGAGCTGCATAAAGTAATAATTATGGCTTCGGATGCCAGTCCTCACGGTTGCAACCTGCTGTTACATATGTGAGGCAGGGTGATGAAATCAGGCGCTCGTCAAAATAATGAAAGCAAACAAAACGACATTTTTCTTCCAGTGTAGCAAATTTTCTTCAATTTTTTTTAATTTTTTTTTTTTTGGGGGGGCGGGGGTTAAGCACCTTTTATGTCCATTTAAAAACACACGATTTCTCGAATTTCTCGGTGTATTTCACAGAAAAACTTTGATAAAAGGCATACGAAAGTGGAAATTTACAGTTTCCAAAGACTCTCAAGCTTTCGAACTCACCAAACTTTGGCGACCATTTTGTTGCTAATTAGAACTATGAAACCAAGTGACCCCTACACCGTTCAGTCACAAAATCTCGAATCTCGACTTCTATTCAAGATAAATGGGTATATTTTTCAACTAAAGAAAGACAAATGAATAAGCTGCAAGATTATAATATATACAATGTATATATATATATATATATATATATATATATATATATATATATATATATCTAACTCCAAATGCTTCAAAATGGACGAGCAGTGTATTACACCACGTCTCATCACATGTTATTCTGCTATACCTATTATAGGCCAGCCCATGTCCTAAAGCTGTCCATCATACAGATCTCTGTAAAGTTGCACAAGGGTTAATGGTATCCCTCTCAGCTCGGGTTGGCCCTTGTAGACAAGGATGAAATCCGCCTCCTGTCTAATTTATTGTTTTGAAATGTGTCCACAGTGGTGTAGAAAGCATTAACATTTGAACAAAATAATGGTTTGAAAAAAAAGAAGAGAACAGGTGGGGGGGTTTTTACGAAGAACATGAAACATCACACGTTATTTTTAAACTTCCATCTTAGATTGTCTGTAAATATTGTGTTGTAATGTTTAATCATGTTTCCCCCTAAGCCCAAGTTGACCCTGACGAATATAATCGATGCCCGCTTCCTAAATTAACTCAATTGTGTTTAATATCTGCTTTTTGAAGCGTAAAAAACACCTTTTTTTAAAATGAAAAGTTCTACACCTAACTGACTCAGTCCTGTCAGGGAGTGAATGCTTACTTTGGAGATCCTGCCTCTAATTCCAGATCACAGTATTAAAAGAGTTGTGAAAATGCTACATACTGCATGGCTGTAATAATTGTCTTGTGAGCAGACTACGTAACACGCGTTTATAGCGTCTCTTCATAAAGTCCTTATCGTCAGTTTACTCTGTTCTGTATCTGCTCCGTCGATTTTTTCTCGAACAGGAAGGCTTTTCAGTTCGTACCGAGGATCAAATTTCGAAACAGCAAAAAGCGTATTTGATACAAAGATTGAACCAATGCTGTTTCGTGGCTTCTAAATTTGGGGTACTAAAAGTTGGGACGGGCTTGACAATGTTCAGATGAAATTTTGGAAAGCCTTTCGATGTCTTTAAAAGCTACAAATCAAAGTGTTTAGTTCGGAGAGATGTGTTCTAATATAATATACATTGTGTCATTAAATTCTGGTACAGACCTATACACTTAGAAAATCGCAGATAGCCAAAGATATTGTACATACAATTTTATTGTTCCTGTGAATTGGGCAGAGTCAACTGGACTGCAGAAGTTTTTTTTAAATATTATTTTCCCTAGATTTGGAATATGCCTGACTTTCTCATAGTGTGGTAAGCACTAGATTATTTCTCAGTGGAGTAAAAAATCGACGTGTTGATCATTCTGTTCAGTACATAGAGGAAAAAGTCTGTCGCAAGTATAATTTATTCTCTCTTACAATTCCTTTTCAAGAAACAGCTGAGTACATCATCAACCCTCCCACGGTATTGGAACAGAAAAGTCATAGTTAAAAACTCATTGTGTTCTATTAAATAACAATCTTTATCGGGGAAAATTAATAAATTCATCTTTATGTGAGAGGCGCATCTCTCGTGAAATTGAAGATGAATTTCACATTATTTTTTATTGTTCAAATTTTGCTCATCAAAGGAAATTATTCATCCCTCCAGCCTGATTCGGCCTAGTGACAGAAATATGCAAAGTTTGACCCATGAGAAGAGATTTGTGCACAACCTGTACTTTTTCATTATGGAAACTTTATTTGATAATAATAAGTGTTTTGTGTGAGGTAATTTGGGCCAATGGCCTTGAACACTGAAATTAACTTACTTACTTACTTGTTCTTTATCTGTTTCAGATGTGTAGGCCTACTGTTTAGACCGAATCTCTGAAGGAAATTAAATAAAGCTTTATACGGGGTGCCCACTACAGCTGGATCGAGCCGATCACCCGACTCGATCGCCTGAAACTGAAAACAAACACGTTTGTCTTTGAGGCAATCGAGTCAGGCGATCGGCTCAATCGGCCGATCCCATCCGTAGTGGGCACCCCGTAGACGTCGTGTCGCGTAAGGTCTTGCCGCTCCAAAATCAATCAAGTAAGACTATAAAGAACCTGTGTCTTTACATGCCACACGACGTCTAGCTGCGTGCAACTGTCGCCTGCGATCGGTCCATGCAGCGATCGAGACCTCGTCGAGCGCGACACACTGGGGTGATTCCGATTTAAAACATCATTATTGGTCAAAATACCTAGCCAAAGAGTACTGATCGACACGCCGTGGGTGTATGGTGTGTGATGTGGTAACACATAAAGATTTACACCTCGCGACTCATCGTTATACGGGGTGCTCAGTACGGATGGGATCGGTCGATCGGGCCGATCACCCGACTCGATCGCCTCAAAAACAAACGTGTTTGTTTTCAGTTTCAGGCGATCGAGTCGGGCGATCGGCCCGGTCCAGCCGTAATGGGCACCCTGTATTAGCGACGCCACGAAGCGTCCCGCATAAGGGCGAAAACATAGAGAAGGCCAATTTCGGAGACTGACTCAGTAAGCGCCGATAGGTATAAAAATTCCCTTATGATTTCCAACTTGCCCCACATAGAGCTGGCAGACTGCAGGCGATTTTAAGCTCGGATCGGCGTTTTCGGCTTTATCGGAATCCAGACTACATTCTTATTACGCCGAAAACCTGAGAAGGGCGTCTCGCTGTCAACTCACGACCTCATTGTTTTCCTGTTGTACCTCCATTTTTTTTAAACAGTGAATTTGAGGCTTTTTCTTTAACTCAATCTTTGTTATGCTCAGGTGGCGAACTCTCAATGCCTCCTCGCCGTCGCCAAACTCGGGTTCAGCAGTTTCCGTGACGTCACCCGACTGGACTGGGAACAATTTTAAATAGTCATTTCAGAGCTGGTGCTTCACGGTAGACAAAAACTAATTACATTTTTTTAAATCAGGGTCATCAAATAATTAGGGTGGCTACAGAGCAGAATTACATTTTAAGCAATGTTTTAGAAATTCGAGTGTTTTTATCCCCAAATAAATGCAACATAAATACCAGCAGTGTTGTGGTGTAATGTTTTACTTATATCTAGGTCTAGGCCTTAAGCGTCCTCCATGTGGAGTCAAGCAGACAGCCACTGGCGCCTGTCCGTGTCGATTTCAGACGCTTAAG